GGACCCATCAAGGGGTCTGACCAGGTTGTAAACCAGCCCACAGACTGCTCAGGCTTTAGGGCTGGCTGGACTTTGGGTACATGGTTATCCTGGAGAAAACACTTGTTTATAATGTAGCTTCAGGATTAAAATAACCGGTTGGTGAGAAGAAAAAGAAGACATCAGCTGACAACAAGAGAAGTTCAGCATGACCCGGCAATGTGTGTTTGCAGCCCAGAAAGCCAACCGTATCCTGGGCTGCATCACCAGCAGCGTGAGCAGCAGGTCGAGGGAGGTGAGTCTCCCCCTCTGCTCCGCTCTCATGAGACCCCCCCTGCAGGGCTGCATCCAGCTCTGGGGTCCTCAGCACAGGAGGGACACGGAGCTGTTGGAGTGAGTCCAGAGGAGGCCACGGAGATGGTCAGAGGCTGGAGCACCTCCAGGTGAGGACAGGCTGAGAGAGTTGGGGTTGTTCAGCCTGGAGAAGGCTCCAGGGAGACCTTAGAGCAGCTTCCAGTGCTGAAAGGGGGCTACAGGAGAGATGGGGGGGCTCTGGATCAGGGGGTGCAGGGATAGGACAAGGGGTAATGGGTTTAAGCTGAAAGAGGGGAGATTTAGACTAGACAGTAGGAAGAAATTTTTTTACAGTGAGGGTGGTGAGGCAGTGGCCCAGGTTGCCCAGAGAAGCTGTGGATGCCCCATCCCTGGAGGGGTTCAAGGCCAGGCTGGATGAGGCTTTGAGCAACCTGGGCTAGTGGGAGGTGTCCCTGCCCATGGCAGGGGGGTGGAACCAGACGATACGATATTTAAGGTCCCTTTGAACCCAAGCCATTTTGTGATTCTATGTCTGTATTAATAAAAGCCATCAGGACTCTGGTACAGAGCATGAGTATTGGTTTGGTTATGTAAATACAGGCAACAAAGATTGAAAATATTGACTTTAAGAATGGTGAGGAAACCTGGTGGTGCAGGTAGGGGCTTGAATCTTTTTTATGGCAATCAGCTATCTGTGTACCCTCCCTCTCAGTTTTGTCTTTAACTTATGTTTGCCTATTTCACAGAATCCATTTGTATTTGCACTTTTTTTAAAGTTATTAGACGGAAAGGAACTAGGAAGGAGGTTATTGTGTGAATGTGGGTTGTTTTTTGGTGTGTGGATTTTTGTGGGGTTTTTTTGTTTTTAAATGAAAGTGAAATGGGGCTGGAGTGTGGGAAACTCCTCTCAGCAGTCACTTAACAAATTGACCATTTTTCATCTACTTTGAGTGGGGGAAAGACTGTGAAAGAACTTTAAAGGAAAACACTGCAAAAAGTTATTAATTGAAGAAGGATCTTTGGCCTCCGTTATTCCAATCAACGAAAGCAAAATTTACCCATCATTATTTGGGATATTATTTCCTAAAAAGGCTGTAAGATGTAAAGCTAGACAGAGAGAAGATAAAGCAGGAAAATGCTAAGGTATGGAAAAAAACAAACCCTGGATACTGCAACTCTGTCAATAGTCAACACTTCCAACTCATGCATTTTTAATTTGCATTTCATTTAGGAACATAAGATTTACTATCATGATTTAACCATTAGTCAACTAAACCAAGAGGGATGCTAAATATTTCTTACAGAACAACACACATACACCCTCTTGGATCTTCTTCCTCCCTGTATTCAGAGTATTCTTTGTATCACAACATAAATTTATTTCATACATGCAGTGTGTGCTGTCATATCATTGCAGTCTTACCAGGATTATGGCATCTAAAACCACAAGAGTGATGAGGGATTCACAGAGCCTGCCTGCCTCTGCAGTCCAGAAAGGCAGGAATCTGCAGTGGGGCATCTATAGCCAACAGCCTGGATGTTATTCAAAACATCACAGATTATCAGTACAAAAAAATCTAGTCTGATCTCTACTGTAACACTGAACACTCTTGAATTAACTCATGTTTTAACTACTGCATCTGCTGAGAAATCCAGTTTGTATCTAGAACCAGCAACTCTTGTATAATTATATTGATAAAATGTATGGTCTGGATTTGTTCAGCCACAAAGGCCAGACAATGAAACTTTTAAAGAAATTTGTATTCTCTATACAAATGTTTGTGGAAAAAAAACAATGGGGGGAAAAAAAAAAGCTTGCTCTGTTTGCCTACTTTTTGTTAAGCCAAATCTGATTTTTCTTGAGATCTTCAAAACCTATTCTAAATCCCCCAGTGCTTATGTTTCACCTCTAGTCCTCTTCTCATCTCTCAGCTTGCTCCTTGAATTCTGAACACCAGACCCAAGTATAATATTTGGGCACAACACACATGAACACGTTCTGTCCTACTAGACACACCCTGCCTATGGATATCGCTGCCCTTTTAGGCAAAGTACCACTGAGAACTCATTGTCCCCCAAACTACTTCACAGAAAAACTACTTCTCTGGAAAGTACCCTCCCTCACCCAATATTTGTTCATATAAATACAGATAAAATCCATACACACAGTCCTCTAACGCAATGTTTAGCGCAGTCAACACCTGTGAGGGAGCCAGGCAGCTCAGTGCACAACTGTGAGCACAGGAATAAGTATTCCTGACTCCCACAGTGACTCGTTTCTCTCTGAAATGTTAGACTTGAATGTTATTCTTAGCATATGCAGCCCAACATTAAAGTCATCGGCACCTACTTTAATAGATACTGTTGTAGTAGCTTCAGGTACTGCTTCAGTAGAAGAAGGTCTATTTAAAGAGAATACAGACAGAGACGTCCTGGATGTCACAGGAGATTCCAGTCAAACTCTTTGGTCAATAGAGCCCTCTTTTTTCACGTCAGGCACACAAATGCTTTCAAAGTGCTTCTTCATGACTTGCTTATGTGCTGCCATGGCATTTCCTTAGCTGCTGTTCATTCAATCAAGCAGCCTCACATGATGTCCAATTTCTTGTGTTTGGATTCAGCTCCTAGAGGGCCCTCAAACCCATGGCTCAGATTTGCTTGGCTTGTATGTAACTTTTGTTTGGCTGATGGCTTCAATTCTTCCAGCCATTTTATGCTGTTCCCTGCCTTTCTACTCTGAGAGTGCCAGGTGTACCTCTGAGGGGTATTTCAGCCCAGCCAGCTTCACTGCAGTGAGTCCTTCCAGGTGACTGATCGGGTTTGATGAAATATCCCCCTCCAAAAATCAGGTCAAGGCAATTCTTTTATCACAGTTCACTAAACTCTTCCTTTTTTTTTAAGGAACATGAACTATTGTAACCCCTCAGATTTCTAATTTAAGCAACACTCCTATTTTTGCAACCTTTTTCACTTATGATTCATATTATATTTTCCAGAAGTATTTCCTGCTTTTCTTCAAAAATTCAGTTTGTTTCAACTGTAGGCAAAGCTATTGCCTGCACTGTGATAGCCAATGCTTATATATACAATTGTGTGTGTCCTAAATTGCAAGACTGGGATCTAGTATTTGACAAACTCCTGCTAATAAGCATAAGCACAGCATAGACGATATTCAGGTTAAAAAAAAAAAAGCTGGTGGTTGATTAAAAATATTTCAAAACTGATTCTGAAATATCATATCATATGAGTTCTCTGGCCCCTATCCAGACTGCCTTTTGAGAAGAAATCCCAATCTAGTTCTTTCTTACCATTTTTGTCTGCAAAACCCAAAATAATCTGCAATATGCCTGTGAAAAAGAAAGTGCATTTGCATATATACTGGATTCAGTTCCTTACTAGATATGTCTTTTCTTGGCTGGGCAAATATATTTCCTCTTGTAAATGTAAAAACTCTGCCTCCTTGTATAGAGTTTTGTTTGAAACCACCCAAGAACAGCTCACATAAATAGTGCACAAGTAAGCACAATGGGCTCAACATCCTATAAGCAAAACTCTTTGCTCTGCTTAGCTAAGTTTTTTAGTTTTTGGCAGAAAGATCATTTTAGAACTCCAATAAATGTACATTCAAGTCATAAGGCTTTTCTCAGCTAAAGATTTACATGGGCCTCCTTTGTATCAGCCACAAACGTATTTTAAGAGTTTGGAAATTCTAGAAGCTTTCCTCCTGCCTTACTCAGCCACTCAAGCTTGATCCTCATTAAATCCCCTGACATGTAATATATTCCAGTGTACAAGCAGCCCTTCATTACTTCTCCATGCTTAGAAGGTAATAAACCCATTTCAAAGGATGGAAGTAGGAACTATTGCAGGTGTTTCCTTACCACTCCATGCTGAGCCAGGAAGGCTGTGCTAGCGCAGGTTGCATGAGTCAATAGCAGCTCCAGCAACGACTTGAGAAAAAGCATTTTTAGGTTCCAGTTAGGAGGCTTTCTGCTCTTGCAGAAGGCTTAGGAAGAATTTTATCTGAAATGCAGGATGGGTGCTGGAGATACTAATTCCATTTCTAACTCAGTTACCAACTTCTGTCACCAGGGACTTAGCAGGTGACTGCACAACGTCAAGCTCAGCTAACTGCCGTGGGTGCACTCTGAAGACTACAACCGAGCCTACAGTTTCTTACGGAGCCTTTGCTTCTCCACTCATGAAATGGAGATAATGAATTTAAACAGCACATTGTCAGGCTCATTTTATTTAATAAATGTGGACCTCTGAGGTGAAAGCCATGCCCCAAAAGCTATTTTCCTACCGTAATTTAAACAGGAACTATTTTTATTTTCCAAAATTCAGAACAGATGTATATCAGACTCAGCGCTGTACTGGGAATATTTCTGAAATACATTCACAGAATGTGTGTGCAAAAGTACAGATTCCTCTGACACCTTAAACTTCACTACGTTTTAATGTATTTTACAACAAAGCATCAGTATTTTACCTCAGAGAAGTGGCCATGTTTGTGAGCACATGCGTTGCAGTACTGGTAGAACTAACATCCTTCCAGTAAGACATCCAGGTTGCTTTAAAATGGGTCTAGATTCTTGGTTAATTATACACTCATGAACAAAGTAAATGTGCGTTTGGACCCCTCCCTTCAGGAACTGAAGGGACTCCTTATGGACTCCTGTTCTTTGCTTGTGGCTCTTTCTCACCTGTGTAATTAGGAGGGCAGAGACAGACATAGTTGTTGATCCCATCCACACATGTTGAGTTATTCTCGCAGTCATTGTCTTCGCAGTCATCTGGGTTTATTTCACACCTCTCCCCTTCATACCCAAGGACACAAGAACAGCTTTGGAGAAAGAAAAAAAAATAACAACAGTTAGTACAGATCTCAAGCCACACATGTTGAGTTATTCTCGCAGTCATTGTCTTCGCAGTCATCTGGGTTTATTTCACACCTCTCCCCTTCATACCCAAGGACACAAGAACAGCTTTGGAGAAAGAAAAAAAAAATAATAACAGTTAGTACGGATCTCAAGGGGCAGGAGGTTTGGGGTATAAAACTGAAGTTAAAACACATAAAAGTGAGTTGCTGGAGCCAAATTCACTGCTGTTGTGAAGTACAGAGCATTTTAACCCTACGTGTTTGGTGAAGGATGGAGTCGGATGGTTCATGGGGTCATGTAATTATTTACATGAGACATAAAAGCATCAGCAGGAGACAGCCTCTGTTGTTCTTCCCTTTGCTTTCTTTGTCGATAACCCGAGCCCTGAATTGCAATAAGCAACTCCACGGCAGGAGAGTATACACGCACCACAATATTCAAACCCTTGGCTTCTCTGTCAATGATTTTGTCAGTATGTGGATACTTGAATACTGAGGACTGCACAATCACAGGGCGACTTGGCAGCTTTTAGATAGCTCGCTTTCTTTAAAGAACAACGGCTTGAATTGAGTTTACAGACACGAACATTTTCTTCTCATTACCACTTTGTCACTTGTCCAATCAAGGAAAGTTTGGGAATGATTGCTTTTACAAGCGCAGGAAGGTTTCAATACTTCTACAGCTCCTCCAGCATCTATTTGTAGAAGAGTTGGTGATGTCTACATAATTCAGCTGAAACACAAACAATGGCAGAGCTAGGAACAGTTCTGTGAGGATGTGGACACTACTGAAGAATAATTGCACTAAATATTTTATCTCACAAGACTTCGAACTATGGTCCCTAGGGGAAGTGTAAGAAACTAAGTGGTTGCAGAATGACTTTAATTTTGTTTCAGTCTCAGTTTCCTCTCTAGATCTAGAAGTTATAGTTGCTAAGAGAACCTTTATATTTTAAACTAGCTGTAAGTGATGAAGAGGTGGAGGCCACAGTTTCCTAAAAAAGAGTCTAAAAACATGTGTTAAGTGCTCCAGTCATTTCGGTGGCTTCTAAGAAGCCAGCAATGGTATTTGAAGTGTTTAAACAGTATTGCTGTTCACTAGTCACAGAAAGTGTGTGCGTGGAAGGGAAGCTGTGTTGTTTCGAGTTCCAGTCCAAACTACACATTCATTTAGCTCTTCATTTCCTTTCCCATGCAAGTTCTGGTGGCAGAAAAGGAGCTGAACAAATGTAAAGCACTACTGACTGATGAGGATGAAAACCAGAAAGCACCAGAGCAGTCACACTAATTGCCATCCACTGCTTCCTGAAGTCAGAATTTCCAGGGCAGAGATAGCTGCAGGGTACTTTTTTTCAGCTCAGATGGAGAAAGTGGACATGGAGTGGTTATCCTGCTGTATGTAGGTGTTGTGGGGGTGAGGTAGGAATGCCATGGAGAAATAGGAGATCTTCAGAATCTGTGAAGAAAACTGCAGCATTTTTGGGCTGGTTGGTCTCAGCATGACATTTGCTTCTCTTGCTTCTGTGTGCCACAGAGTGAGCAGAATTCAGGGAGTCCTAGGGGAGGGGTGGTACAGAGCTCTGCATCCACCTTCAGCAGGTCCTAGGCTGGACCCTGAGGATAAGGTTAGATTCTTCATGACACCGGCAACCTCACAAACTAAGGAAATAGCAAAGAGGAAGAAAAAAGGGTAGGGAATGTGTCCAGAGCCACAACAATAGTAAGATGTTCTAGGTGGGTACAGAAGAGGTATATAGGTCACACGCTAACAGTCTTCGCTTCTGCTGGGACCATTCACAGGTCGTGAGAGTTAGAAAACCTTCACCATGAATAGCCAAAACCAAACTGCTCAAATAAATCCAATTTAGGACACAATAAATCAATAAGAAATATTTTATTTTCCTGTCTGAAGCTCATTATTGCTAATAAAGTATGTCCTCTTGCTGACCCTGCAATGATCCAGAGGATCACAGGAGGCAGATAAGACAGAAGAGCTGGCACACCATCTTTTGTGGCAATGCAAGTGTCATGGAGGGGGTTAAAGACATCTAATTAAATACAGTGCCACATTCATCATGTCCCCTTTTCGATTACAAAACCCCATTTTTCAGGGGTTTATAACTCATCCATAAAAATATGCTCCAGGCTGCAACTTAGCATCCAAGGTCTCAGTTTGGGAGCACGAATTTTTCTCTCCATTTAAAGAAAAGCAACAAGAGTAGCTTTGTGCTGGTTATTTTTATGTGAATATAACACCATTTTCCTTCCACAAAAGGACTGGGACAGCTTGGATCTATGCAATTAAAAATGACATTATTAAATACTATCACAGTAATGGTTCAACTCAGTAGAGTTACCATTAGTAACAATACATATGGGATTGTTAACATACAATTGCTCAGTATTAGGACACATTCCATACTGAAGGAAATGTCAGCATAATTGATGACATTTGGCTACTGGTCCCCATGTATTATAGGGAGTCTTTACATTATTGCTTACGTATGATTCTTTATTTTGATTTGCATTCAAATGTGCCAAATGTGAGGACCAAAATTAAATGATAAAACATAAAACTTGGGACCCGGATTGAACCATATGTTGAAAGAGTTGCAGTTTGGGACTATTTGTATGTATATTCCCATAAAAAGCTTAGAAGAAAAATGAAGTTTGCAGAGTGACTGGAAGGTCATCAAACTGGAGTTCCAGCTGACCGAGAGAGAAAATTAATTCCAGAGACAACGATGAAAACTTTGTACTGAGTAAATAGTGAGACAGTGTGAGACAGCATTTCATTTGGACCTCAGAATCAGTGGAGCCATGCAGGAAAGAACTGTTTTCTGAGATGCTGTGATTGCATGAAGGTCCAAATTCCCTGTTCCTCCAGCTTAGGGATTTTCTCTTAGTGTTCTGCTTTCCTAAAAATAAAGAACTAAATAAAACCCCAAACTGCCATTATCTTCATGAAGGTGCAAGGGAACACAGAAATTAATGACAACATTTTGGGGGTAAACTTTTGGAGCTGAAGTATACTGACAATTTTGTAAGTTTACTATATTCAACTTTATTTTTTTCCCAAACTCTAAAGAAATAGTTTAGCATCTGTTTATTAACATAGGCATACACACAGTGTATCATGTTTCAAAAAATCAACTTTTAAATAGAGATAGTAAAGTCTTTCAGGAATATTACAATTTCTTGGTAAAGGAGCTTTTTACATCGACATCCCAACGGAGTAGCCTGTAAGTCTGGAAGTGCAACGTTTTTCCTTGAACTAAGCAGAATTAACACTAGGGAGTTAATGAGTTCCAGGATTTTACATTTATGAGGGAGCTTAAAGTTTGTGGAAAATGCTAAAGAAAATGCTCTGGAAAATTGAGGGGGTTTTATACAGAGAAAAGTTAAAGTACTCCAGAGACTTTGTTTCCTGACACGTGGGTTATCAAAGATCAGCTGGTTGCCTGGAGCTAACCGAAGCAGAGCTGACTTTGTCAAAGTCTCACTTACAGGCATGCTAAATGACCAGGACACGTCTGATTGACCAGCGTATTTTATCGGTCTCAATAAGCACCTTTTTTGGCAATCTTTTGTCACAGAAGACATACATTAGATTAGAATGTGCACTTCGAGGAAGAACTTAATGTTTCTAATCCCCTGAGACATACAATGCCACTTAACTATTCTTTAATACAGAAGTATTAAAAAATACCTGAAAAAAAAACATTTAAAGAAGTATTTAAAAAGTACCTGAAAAAAGAGAATGTCAAAATTTCTCAGAATTGAAAAAGTACAAGAATAAAAGATGCCAAGAAAGACTGAAGAACTCCAGCTGAACCTTTGCCCTTCGGTTGCCCCACCAGGACTTGCTACTACAACAAATCTGAGCAGCTCCGTCCCCTGCTGCTGCAGCCTGTGTGGGTACCAGGCACAGCGGGCGAGTCAGGCTGGAATCTCAGGCATAACTATGAATTTCCTGTCTTTGCCTGGGGAACATCACCACCTTAGCATTATTTAAAAGGTAATTTTCTTGTCTAAGGCTACAGAAACTTGAGAGTTAAACTGCTTGGCACTTCATAAGGAGAGAGCTTTGGCTTAAGTTTCCTTTTTACAAGAGTAAAGATTTGACAAGTTTGGCAGCAGAGCTTGTGTATGAATATATTTCCCCAGGGAAGAGAATATACAGAAGATATAATTTCTTTTACAGGCCACACAACAGAAAAATCCAAGGAGGCCTCTCATGAAAATGTTTTTGACATCCACTTCCTCACAGCATATAATCTAAGGCAATGTTTTCCCATCTTGACGAACACAATTCAGATGCACGTAACTCTGACTGCTGCCATCCACTGGAGAGGAGATTTCCCACCAAAAGAACCCAAACCAACCAAACTCAACCTCAAAATGTTTCTTTATCTTCCCCTTCACTGACCGTTCCATCCCCACACCACATTTCTCTAAGACATGCTAAAGCCCCACGCTCCTGCTCTCCAGAGCAGCTGGGGCTACGGACTGAGTTAAAAACACGGAGTGAAAATAGAGCAATGCATAAGCTGAACATTCAATTTTATGAAACAAGATTTTGACGAGATATGGTTTTATGTGTCTTTTATTAGACCAACTGAAACTATATAAATAACTGTAAAAGCAGAAATCTTCCCTAAAAAGCCTCAAATATTGTTAAGCAACAAAACCATCCCCTGCAGTTTTGCAAAGGATCTCAAAAACTACATTCGTTTGGAACTGAAGCAAAGCCTCTGAAATTGTAAAATTCTTCATGAGAAAAATTCAGGAGTAGCTTTAATTTCAGGTCATTCAAAACTTTTTACTTTCTAACACACAGAACAAAACTAAAATGCTAAAGAAAACCCCAATCCAGGTTATAAACTGAAGCCTTTCATTCCAGTATTATGGATATTATAAAATGTTTTACTATCATGTTTTTAATACCAGCTTGATTTTTTCAAAATGAGTACTGAGTGACAGAAAACAGATATTCTGACATGGCACAATTTTGTTTTGGCACAAGCTGGAAAATGCTATCTAAACAGTATCACATAAGGGCGACCAGAAAGGAGCCCAAATCAAAGACAACCAGTCCTTTATTTCTCTCAAGCAGAAACAGAACTTGAACTTTTACTCCAGAAAATGCTGGGCCTGCCAAAATCTGAATCGAGAAGACGTATATCAGATCACAAGTGCAGAGTAGTGGTTTCACCAAATTCTAGGAAGTCCTGCCAAGCGGCATGGCCATTTCCATGTGCTGTGATCTGCGCAGCCTCCTCATCCTCCCCCCCCACCACGCACCAGTAGGACCCTACAGACACATCTGTACCCAGGAGACGCGCTCTCCTGCTCCGCTCAGGGCCTTGCCAGAGGTGCTCGAGCTGAGCTCTGAACTGCCCCTCATGGAGACATCGCCATATATTTTACTGCTGTTCTCCCACACGGGAAAGCCTCAGGTTGTTATTTGCAGCAGAGCCTGACAGTGTCCCCTCATCCCCATCGCCTGCACTGTTGCACTGTAATACCGTCCGTGTCCCTCTGTGTCCAGCGTGTGCGGGGTCTGTTTCTGTAAGGGGGGAATTCTGCAGGCTGGGCAGGCACAGAGACAGAGACAAGCTTTGGGGCATTTCTGCTGTTTTCTGTTTCCCCACTCCTCCCACCCACAGGGTAAAGCTCTTCTGTGCCTCATTCCCACAGGAGGGATTTGGGGAGTCAAAAAGAAACCACAATGCTTTGCTGGAAATACAAAAGGCATCCTACCATTGGGAGTGGGGGTACCTAAAGTCCTGCCAGTCACTCAAACTTTTACCTGGCCCTTTCTGTTTTGAAAAAATCCCATTTTCTGACATAAGATGATATGGGTTTGCTGACTTGGTTAACAAACAGTTAACCTAGTTGGAACAGTCTTCATCACAGCTGAAACCAAACTGGAATCAAACTGAAAAATTTGTACTGGTTTGACTCCCTGCTTACACCATTTATAAAGCTTGGAATTCAGTGTCTCCCTCCAGCTGTCACTGATAGGGAGCTATATATAGAAGACAAAGCAGCAGACTCAGTAACGTATAAAAGCTTTTAGAAGTGAGGCTTTCATAGAGGCAATTGAAACAATAGTATAGTGTACTTTTGTGCAAGAAATAGCATAAATACTGAAGACCAAATCTATGAAAATTTCAGCAACTCTTTTCTAAAAAAAAATATTTCCATCAACTTTAATGACAACTAGCGGCCAGAGCCTCAAACTCGCATTTGCTTAGCTGTGACGTAGTGCCTGTAGCAGCACAAATCTCCCACATACCTCACGAAAATCTCTGGACTTCTCTTGGAGTATCCTCACCTATGCTACATCTTTCTTATATGGGAAAACTGAAATGTGTAATGTATAGCTGTAAAGGCAATTCTCTTGCAGGCACAATGCTCAAGACGTGGCAATCTCTCCAAGTTTTTAAATTATTTCTTTAAAGTCTGTTTGTCTATGAGATTTTTCACTATGAAAACATTTTGCATCTGGTTGTCAAGCAACACATGCTTACTTTACAAATACAAAAAAGGGTACGTGTGAGTTTGACATGCCCCAAGGAAAATTAGCATACACAATGCAGATCAGCGAGACCGCTCAAAATAGCTCTTCAGAGTATATTCCATTCTGAGAAAATAAGGAGGCCTGTTTCAGAGGGAACAATATGCCACCAATGAAACCAGATTAGGTTTTTTTGTATGGTAAATAGAAGTGTCACATGCAGCCGCTTTTATAAAGTAGCCATTACAGTTCATTAATGCAAAGTAGAAACACATTCAATTTTATCATCTCATTTTAAATGAACTTTGTGTTACTACCTGAATCCATCTTTATTTGCCTCGGTGAGGTGGCAGGTCCCTCCATTCTGACATGGATTTTGAATGCAAGAATTAATGGGCACACTGCAGTCTCGACCCTATTTGGGAAAATTCAAAAAAAACAAGGTTAGTAAGACTCATGTCATCTGAATCAATTTCTCTTACTCCCTTGCCCTATGTGTGGCACCAATTTCAGGAGGTCTCTGGTCTTCCAACCCATCATATCACCTACTGTTCATTATTGATGGTCAGATATATTAATTGCTTAAGTGAGAATCTGGGCAGGGCAACTGTTCTGACCAACGGGACTGGTGGGTATCTTGGTATAATTTCAGTTACAAGATTTTAGTTAACTCCTTCATTTGACTGTTTTAAGGAAATGGCAGGTTTCATCATTACTATAAGACACTTCAATCTCCAGTGTTAGTTACCATGAAGAGAATAAATCATAACCAAAGGTAAGCAGAACGCCACAGTCAGCACAAGACCCCACAGAGTCAGGACTCATGCAGCCACATTTACCAAGTGCTCAGTTAAACACCACAACAGTACACCATGCTCATTACTACGCGCTGTCAAAACCTAAAGGGGAAAAATTCATTTCTATTGCAGGAGCTGAGTTTGAGTTTCTGTACAAACCACACTGAATCCTGTTTGAAATGCCATCGTTGAATCAGTCCCCTTCTTAAAGATTGCCCTAAAATATCCATCGGTTCCAACTGAACTTCACTAGCTTGAAGAGCCTCCACTGTTAGGGAAACCTCGCTCTTGCGTGAAGAACAAAGAGGATGGTCTCATCTTTCTAACCCTTGTTCATCATTGCCCACCTCTCTCCCTCACATCCTACACTGATCAGAAGTCCATGCTCTGCTCCTGACTGGTGAGCCCATTTCCAGCAATGCGCCCAGCCTGGAGGTGACAAGCCAGCAGGACAAGGACTGTGCTGGTTCTGTGACAGGTCAAGCTCCATTCATGCTTTCAGTACTGTATAAACACTAGTAGCAATCTTAATTTGTCTCTGGAGTGCTTATCTTGAAATTGGTTTAGCCTCAATTAAGCCTAATCAAGGCATTAAGAAACCGAAACGAGCTTATAAATGTGAACTTTTCTACAGAGTTCATTTGATCTGGTCTGTCACTCATGGTGCTAGGCTCTCCCATTCACCCATCATACAGTTCAGTATTTGGTCAGGTAGGACATGCTGCCATCGTACTGTGAGAAGAGCTGAGACACACTTTCACCCAACACCACAGAGGAGCTTCCTTACAGAAATGGGAGACGAAGCTGTATTTCGTGAGGCTCTGTCCCCAGCATTCCCCAGAGACAGGAGAAGCAGCTTTGCATTTTAAAATTTCTGCAAACACAAGGAACCACGGACATCTTTTTCCTTGGTTGAATCGGAAGAAAAACATTTCCAAAGAACAACAGAAAGCCCTGGCCAACCCGCTGCCTCGCTGCGAGTTCATTCCCCAGCCCAGCAGCGCAGGCAGCACGCAAAGACCTCGCCCAAGACCTGGCAGAGAGTGTTTCTGCTTCATCCGTGCTGCGTTTGCCAAACAGCCTGTCCTCTCCATTTGAAATCCTGAGCCCCCAAATGTCTCAGGGAAGAACTGGGGAAATGCCAAAGGAAGCTCATGCAGGTTTTATTTTGGCACCATGTGGTCCGCAGCGCTCCACGGCTGCCAGCCACGCAGCATTAGCACTAATCCGCTGCCACCGTTCTGCAACAGCGCCCGTGTTCTGTCCATCTGTGTTGCGAATCCTGGGTGTTTACCACGTTATCCTAAGGAAGCTGGAAGATGCCATTTTTTATATTTCTAGGATCACAAATACTTTTCCTGTGTCCCCGAAGAATTTATTATTTTACAGATACTTCACTAACATCAGTTACTTCTGTTTCATATGAACTCTTCATCCCTATGTCACTAAAATATTAAACCCTTTGCAGCTAAGTGTAGCAAGAAGCAAAGTAGAAACCACAGCATCTGTTTTTCTGAAGGTTTTTGTCACAGTTGAACACCGCGTAAAACAGTCCCATCACTTCTACTGTAATTACTCAGATTATTTTGAATGTTCTTGTAAAAATTTAATAAAAATAAATGTTAAAAGGAGAGCAAGGCATTTTCAGTCTGGCACATGAAATTTCTCATGACTTAGGCTCAGCTCTCATTTCTGTACTGAACATGGCTGAATTATTGGCTTCTTGGGCCTCAGGCACCATGGAAACCGATTAGTATGTGCTGCTGAAGCAGACTTAATTACAACATGAAGTTGCTGTGTGGCTTTAGGAAAATTAAAGTCTCTCTGACTCAGTTTACTCATTGTAATAAATGGGCAAACAGCACTTAATCTTTCTCTGAGGATTATCTCCTCTGAGTTGACTTTATCAATAGCACACTGAGAGCCCACAAAACAAGTACAATTTCTCTAACACAGAAGACTACGAAAAACAAAGAATTCTGAAAGGAGAGAAGCTGCAGAAAATATTGGTACTAATAAATCTACGTCAACGCAAGACCGTTTTATTTCTGCGTAAGACTGTCACTACCCAGAAGAGCCTGAAGACATTCTAGAAACATCTTTCAAATGAATAATGCAATTCTCTCATCTCAATTTACAGTAAGGCTGTTCTTACTGGAAAAATGGAACTGCTGTCAAGCGTCACTGAAGTTATCTGTGAGTTGGGAAAAACTTTTTGAATTACATTCCCTGGAAATAACTATTGTTACAGAGGAGAATATTGGATATTTGCTTCAAGACTAACGAGCCTTTTAATGAAGTCTGAATCAGAAAAAGAGGTGCAGACTTTGTTTCAAGGACAGGAAAAAAGATATAACTGTCTCAGCAATTCACAAAAAAGAAGATGAAGGCCCCGCTGTGTGCAATATTTTATTTGTAGAGCTTTTTTGAGTCGCAGTAATTTTTTATCCAGTCTGATAGGAAAGCATGAGATCCAAAATACTTTTATATAGTTTCTCTCCTTTTCTGCAGGAGAGGAAAGGATTAGGTGTTGAAACATAAAATTTCTGCAGCTAATCAGGAGACAAATATGTGCAGAGTCCGGCTGCCTTTTAAAATCTGAAGTACCTCATCTGGTCCAGATTTGGGCTGCTCCAGCTCCATATTTCAGCGAATGAGAACAGAAACTATCCACCGTACTTAGAAAGTGTCAATTCTTTATTTCATACTCAACAGTAATTAACTGCACTGGGCATTTGAGTATATACAAGCTGTTCCTCACTACTGCTGTGCCAACTTTTAGCCTTTACAAGTATCCAACATCGGAAAACATTACTTCACGATTAGTAAAACACCCAAGAACAAGCAGCAAATACTAATATCAGGAAGAACAAAGGATAATATGATAAAAGCATGCATTTGCTTTGACGTTGTTTCAACCACTGCAATGATTTTCTTAAAAATTAATTTCCACAAATTAGTATTGTCTATGGAGACTGAAAGCTTCATTCAAGAACACATGGCAGAGAACTGACCTCTTTCCATTTTAATGTGATCCTTCACCTAACAGCAACGGGTACAGATAAGGGGCAGCAGCATCGAGCTCAACAGAGGCACAAGGTACCATAGAACCATAGAACACCAGGATGGAAGGGACCTCAAATATCATCTGGTCCAACCTTTTGTGGCAAAAGCACGGTCTAGACGAGATGGCTCAGCACCCCACCCAGCTGAATCGTAAAAGCGTCCAGTGTCAGGGAATCAACCACTTCCTCGGGGAGATTCTTCCAATGCCTGATTGTTCTAATTGTGAAAAATTGTCCTCTTGTGCCCAATTGGAATCTCCCCAGAAGTAACTCGTACACATTACCCCTCGCCTTTTCCATGTGACTCCTTGTAAAAAAGGACTCTCCATCTTCTTTGTAGCCACCCTTTAAATACTGGAACATGGTGATAAGGTCTCCCCTAAGCCTTCTTTTCTCAAGGCTGAACAAACACTGTTCTCTCAGCCCTTCCTCGCCTGACAGGCTTCCCAGTCCCTTGATCACCTTTGTGGCCCTTCTCTGGACCCTGTCCTGCCTGTCCATGTCTTTTTTGTACAGCAGAGACCAAAGCTGAACACGGCATTCCAGGTGTGGCCTGACAAGCACTGAGTACAGTGGGATAATGACTTCTTTATCTCTGCTGGTGATGCTCGTGTTGTTGCAGCCCAGCATCCTGTTGGCTTTCTTTGCCGCAGTGGCACAGTGTTCACTCGTATTGAGCTTGCTGTCCAGCAGGACCCGCAGGTCCCTTTCCACAGAGCTGCTCCCCAGCCAGGCAGATCTCAGCCTGTGTTGCCCTCCTGGATTATGTTTTCCCAGGTGCAAGACCTTACATATGTCCTTGTTGAACTTCATAAGGTTCTTGTTAGCCCACTCTTCCAGCCTATCCAGGTCTTCCTGCGGGGTGGCTCTCCCTTCTGAAGGGTCCACTTCCCCACTCAGTTTGGTATCATCAGCAAACTTCATCAGGGCACACTTGATCCCATAGTCCAGATCACTTACGATGATAATAAACAGCGTTGGGTGCAATGTTGATCCTGGGGGGACCCCACTTGTGACAGGTCACCAGTTTGAAAAGGAGCCATTTACCACCAGCCGCTCGGTTCAGCCCGTCAGCAAGTTCCCCATGCACTGCACAGATCACTTGTCCAGACCATAACACACTAGTTTCTCTAGGAGGAGGCTGTGGGAAAATGTACTGAAAGTCTTGGAGAAATCCAGGTAGACAACTTGGATTTCTTCAGGACTTCCAGGTAGAAACTGACTGCAGCAGAAACACGATCCAGCCAGTGATGAAGACACCTGCAGACAGGCAGAAGTCTATCTGACTTCAATGGTTTGTGAACAGGCAGACCTCTTTCCAGCCAATTACAGCCTTGTTCAATGACTACCATGTTTTAAAGTATGCTAGAAAAACGAGCTATACAAAAGAAATACAAAAGTTTATTTTAGTTGTTAACAATATACAATGTGTTCATAATAAATTTTATTTAGATGGTATATGTAGAGAACAGATGGTAGCGTTCCTGTGTTTAGTAAAGATACTAGACAAAGACAAATATAGTTGATAGAGACTTTAAGAACTAGGAAGTTTT